AGAGCCCCCCCACAACCCCACACAGAGGAACAACCCCAACCCCTGCAAATCCTGCCAGCTATCAAGCACCCCCGCCCCTAACTAAACTGCCTGACACAACCCTGCCACCCCACGCAGCATGGGGTCAGCACCCCCTTGCTCCCGGGTCCCTGCAGCTCACCCCACACCACGGGGCATTTATCCAACATCTTGCCAGGAAACAAACCACCAAAAAAGTCCCCCCCCCAGGCCTGCCCCCCATGGCAGCAGGAGCAGGTAGCTGCCCCGGCCCCGCACGCCAGCCCTCTCCTGCGCAGGCCAAGCCCTCTCCAGGCTCGCCCGCGGCACAGACGTCAACAGTCCTGCCCCCTCCGGCCCCATCTCACCCCCCGAAACCTGCGCGCCCTGCTGCGCCGCGCCCTGTCCCACGCGCGCCCCGCGGGGGCCCAGGGCTCCTGCCGACCCCTCCGGCCAACACGCTTCCCCCCGCAGGGCCCAGGCGCCCAAACCCCCCGAAACGTCCAAACCCGGCGAGACGCCCAAACCCCCCGAAACGTCCAACCTCACCCACACTCCTGTCAAAAGCAGGCCTGCCCCGCAGGCAGCAGCAGCACCCCGTTCCCATCTCCCCGCCATGAAGCTGGGAGTTTTGCCACCTCAATGCCGTCTCCCAGCGCGCCTCGCGTGCCGCAGGCCGCCCGCAGCACGGGGAGCGTTTCGGGGCGGGGGCGTGCTGCCCCAGAGCAGACCCAACCCGCCCTGGCCCTGACCAGGGGCAGCGTCCTGGCTCAAGGTGGCAGGAGCAGGACCCGCCACCTGGGAGCGCACAGTGGAGGCAGGCAGCCCTGGGAGCCCCCCATGCCAAAGCACAGCTGTTGCCCAGAGAGGAGAGCCAGGGTTAAAGGGTTTCGGCCTACAAAGAGGCCTGTGTCTTTCCCCCCTGTTGTCAGGCTGTCTCCAAGGTGCAGGTTGTCGCCATCTTGGGTGCTCCCCCACCCTTTAATAAAGGCAGCAAATCTCCTCCCGAAACTCTCCGGAGGCGGGGAAATGGGAACGATTACAGGGTAACTGGGGGGGGGGCAATAGCGCATGCTGGTTTTCACCCTGCTTTCCCCCCCATGAGCTGCCCTCCCCATGTCCTGCCCAGCCCCCGCGCCCCCTTGCCGCTCATCCTCTCTCTGCCTGCGAGACGGGCACCCCAGCCCCAGGCCTGGGGCGCAGGGGATGCTCCTCACAGCCCGCACCCCACAGAGAGAGGCCTGGGGCAGCGGCGGCAGCGCAGAGGGGCATCGCAGCTGTGTCAGACATGGAGGAAGGGGGGTGGCGCGCTCAGTTCGCGCGCACTGCGGCGGATCACGCCCTGTGGCTCTGTCTGCCGCGGCCATTTTGCTGTGAAAGCTGTTGCCAGCCCGAGCGCTGTCTCCTTGGGCCCAAAACCGCCCCGAAACCCATCAGGCGATGCCCCCACCCCCGGCAGCCT